TCTCTTCGAGTCATCATATTCTACCATAGACTTTACTTGCAGGGCAACGTATAAATAAGTTACTTACACTTAGTAATCATGCGAAAAATGTTTCTAAAAGTTGTAAGAAAAACTAAAAATCTCCTGAAAATAAATGTTTTATTTAAATTCCAATATGCGGTGTTTGGTATCATCCTTTGTACGATTACAAAAAAAAAGGAATATTTTACTTATCTTTGGAAATTTATTGGAAAAAGATGTTCAATATCTATTTCGTGCTAAAACAGGATTATCAGTTTATGAAAATCCTGGCTGGAAAATAGACGTGGCTTTACAAAATGGAGCAAATTGAAAGTGAATTTCTGCTGAAGGCTTTCAGCCATTTAACAGACTGATATGGAATAAAGTTTTTTATTCGAGACAATAACGCCGTTTTGTTTGTCGTGTCATTGGTGTGTGAATAACTATGTAAAGCAAATAAATTAAGAGAAGAACAAGATATCGTAATTTTTTAATTTGTTTAACTACATGTTTACAACCGTTCAATTCTTCCTTTAATATTTTTAAAAAATTTTTTTAATTCCTTTTTGAAAACACCCTTTTATTTTAAGGCACAAAAAGTTAAAAGGATGGAAAATAATTATTTGCTGTTCCCAACATTTTGAAATTTTCACTGTCGACAGCTGTAAACAAGATATTTATGCTAACTAAGCGGCTTAAATGCCAAATAAGTTTAAAATAATATAAAAAAAGAATTTAGGTGTCCAACCGCAGAGTTTTTGGGGGAAGGTCTTCTTAATTAGTCGTCGGCGGTTAAAATTAAAACAATTAATAAGTTAGGAATTTGTGTTCTTGTCACATTTTATGGAGCTTTTGTATAAAATTTATTAAAGCGGAGATTCACAATAAAACTCTCCAATGGTAATTTTATTATAAAACAGGGCTGTTATGTTACGAAAACGACAAATAAAAAGAAAGCTTTTACTGAATGAATGCAAGGCAATAATATCCGTCAGGTTGACGCTATCTCACACGCTATTATTTACAGACCTTAATTATCCTTATTTTTAATTCCCAAACAGCAGTTCCAATTAAGCTCTCTAATATCGACTTGCCTTAAAACAGGGTTGTGAGAGAAGCTAGAATAAATTTGAAAAAACATGTTAAAAAAAAACACATGATGAATTGGCATTCGTCACTAACGCCATTTCCGGTGAAGAAGAGAGGTATGAGTGCGCATGCGCCTACTAAATTTTCCCGGAAAAATTGGGAGATGCTTAGTAAGCATTAATGACTTGAAAAATGTACACTTGACGCACATACCACTAATAAAACGATAGTAATATGGATTATAACAGCGTAGTCAAAAAGGAAAAGAAACGGTTTTTAAAGTGCAGTAAATGGAAGGAAAGTAACGAATACGTTAGTTGACTTCATCAATGGAATTAGTTGTCAATGTGAGGGCTAATGGTGAAGTCGCAAAACCAAGTAAATTGTAGTTTTCTGTGGCTATTGCTCAACCTACCTACCGAGCATAATACGACGTGTAAATAAAACAATACCGTTGTTTTCACTGTTTGTGACTCTGACTTTGTTTGGACTTCGGCCAATTGCTTTTACAGCTTTTTCCCTTGATGCAGCGATTGCGACTATTGCTTAAAAACTTTAATACTCAGTTTTTATTCAGAAGTGGTACTATAAGCAACTTAAAGTCAATTGTAGGAGAAGATTTTTGATAGATAAAAATAAAGATTTCAAGAAAGCAAAAGAAACGTTTAATAACGAAAAAGTAAACATTTAATAGCTATTGCTCAATTACTATAATAAGCAAAGCAAACAATTAAGTTGGATTATAATGTGAAATGCGAACCAAGTCGGGCATAAGTTGAAAAGTGAGAGTGTTTGCCAACAACAAAAACCACTTGACTATTTAAAGTACGATTTATCCATTTTGGAGACGTTGGGAGAGAAAAAAAGAGAGAGTGAGTGAGTGGGAGAGACAAATGCAAAATAATTTCTTGGCGCAATTTGCTTCCGAGACTTACATTTGGATAACTTCATCCGATAATTTGACATATTTACTCGAATCGTAATTTTATTGCATCTGCTACGTAATAATTAATTTATGGTCAATGTTCATATTTAAATAAATAACTGCTGAATGTTTCTTAAAAAACAAAGCAGTCGTGATGGTGCAACATTCAGCTTATTCTTCTTTGAGCTTCTTAATTCTGTGTTTTGCTTACCGTAAGTACATGCGTATGATTGCCTTTTTGTTTGTCGCTGTAAACAAACCTTAAAAGTTATCAAAAAAAAATTGATCAAAGAAAAACTGGTTATTAAGAAACAGGTATTAGCGGTCCGTTCAGTTTAAAGCGATTCTTAGGTACTCACCTCTAAAGCACTACAAGATATATGAATAGCGTTCAGATTTCACCATTTATTATCAACTTTATGAACCGATGAAGCCATCTTTGGGAAGAATTGTTTCAAAACCTTCATGTTCGAACCCCGAGTCTAAGTTATTGAGCGTGCTGTCATGACTGAATTCATAGTTTTTTCTGCTTCAAACGTTAAAGAAACTTAGATGTAGAAGCATAAGTTCATGAATTTTCAGTTACTTTTTTTACAATTTTGGAAATATCTTCAACACTAAGTCCAGATTTTAGTATGTCTAAGTCGACTCTGAACAAAAAAAGGAAAGGTTTCCGAATCTTTTCTACGCACATATTGTTGGTTGTTACAAACCGGTCGATAAAATTTATATAACTAATCCCTCTTTCGTGGTTATTAAAAGCAAAAAATAAATGAATGAGTTTGCTTTTAAAAAGTTAGCTAACACATTCCGTTGTCTTAGTAAAGTAAGTCAAGGTTGTTTGCTTCTGATTTTGACTGAATATTGATCTTAATTCTTCTACATCGTGCGAATCGGCTTTTCCCTTCTTATACGTAGTGATTTTCGAGTGTATGTTTCTTTCGCTTTTAGTTTTACTGCCTTTACATTAAACCATTGTTTATTTCGTTTCTGTAAATTGAACAAACAACTTTCAATACTTTTTCTCTCTTTTTATACCCATTTGCGGTGCAGGGTACATTAAGCTACTGCGGATGTATATAAATCCCCAAAAGCGCTTCAGATAGACCCAACTTTTATTATATCAATCAGAAATTCAGAATCATTTTCTAAATCGGTACAAGCCTGTCTGTTCGTCTGTTATCTGGCCATGTGTTTTTGTGATCAAGGTAAAAGTTGCAATTTTTGAAATATTTCGACAAGGATGAACCCTAATGGTTCGAATCGATCCGAGCGAGACGCGTCTTTAACATGCAAAAGCGTTCTCCCCACAAACAATTTGACCGCAAGCCTGCGAGACGCCTGCATCTAAGTAACCTCCATCCAAGTAGCTAAAATGCAGAGTATTTTTTGCAGAATTTGGCCATTTTTAAAACACAAGTCCAGTGCCAATGTCCTCACGTACATTATTTTGATTGCCTGTGGACTTTTTCATTTTTCAAACGCATCACATTTGATTTGATAGTAATGGTGTTAGCAAAGATACACTCCACTCCAAAACTTGTCTATTCGGGAAAGGTCGCAAAGTTTGTTCTTTATCTACTGCAATAAACTCTCTTGATTCCTATATATGATTACAAGCGCTCTTCTTAAGTAGGAAGAAACTGAAAGATTTCATTATATTTTATATAAACCTATCTCAGAAGCGGTGGGTATTCAAAATTCCTCTTAAATACATTTTTTTTCAATTAATTCCTTGTCTTCACTTAAAAAATTCCTTATACCTCTTTTAGTTGCCTTTTCTAATGCACTGATCGTACCACAGGAACTGCCTTCAATTCTGTCTTTGATTTATTCGAATATTCCGCCAATCAAAAAAGGTATATTTTTATAAAAACTTATTCGTACCACTTATCAAACTATTATATATTCAAGTTTTTTTGTGACTTTTATAGGCACAGATTCCCGTTTGGGATTTGGTTTTCGCCTTGGAGAACATGCGGATTTTCAAATCTTACTTGAATTGGGACCGCAAAAAGAAACCCGTCCTCTAGGGGATCAAGACTCAACGGATGGTTCGGCCTTTAACAAGCGTCATGTGAATAAAAAACAACAAGAGGATATACTACGAGAAAAATCGATCACTGAAAAACGGCCGGCAACTTGGTTGGAGAAATGGACAAAGGAGAGTGAAAATAAAAATACAGATGGTACAAGACATTCACAAATATTGCCCCAGAAACCAGTTCTACCAGACAAAGTAATGAAACAATTGAAAATGCTACACAAAATGGCCACCGCATAAATAATATTTCATCCATGTGAATGCATTGCAAGGAAAATTAAAATCTTTAAAACAAAATAAAATAATTAGACAATCAAAAGAAAAGGCGCCTACATCCGGCTGCAATGTCCATCATCACCAAAATTATAGCTTGCGTTGAAAGGAAAAGCCGTTAGTAGTTTGTGAACAAAATGCCATAGATGTTTACAGATAAAAGACAGCCCTAACTGCACTAGTATTATGAACATTATTCCCACAATGTAAAATATAGTAAAGCTGAAGACTATATAAGATGCCTTGTTCTATTTATTTATAATTTCTGGATCAAACTGCGGGCTTTCCATTTTGGTTGATTTTTGGACATGACGTAATCGACTACGCAATATTCATGACTATGAACAACACTCGATACTACACAAACGATCGTTTTACTCAATATAACTTTATTACATTTTCTCTTCATATAGGATGAAAAACAGGATCACCTACGTATATGTCAGAAGTATCGTAGAGTTGAACTAAAAAGCAAGCACCCTGAAAAGTGATAAAATTAAGCTAAAATGTTGTGACAACGCAAACCTAGTGAAGCACTCTGTAGCACTTCTACTAAATCAAAATATGTCTATAGAAATTGAAAATCTTCGCATATAACATTTTTTAAAATAAATCCTTCCCTCATATGGCATGTATGCACATAATCCATTTTCAGTAGAATTGATGCCTTGCCCAAAACGTTTTAACGTACAAGTTTTATGAGGTAAGCTGCGACTAGTATTTTTATCGCAAAGATCTTAGACTGACAATTTCGAATAGCTTCAGGAAATTATTATCGTTTAAATAATATAATTAAAAATCGGTCTAAAAGAGTTTTACTTACATGATAACCAAAAAAACAAAAATATATTTGCTTTTCCTCAGTTAAACGATAAGAAATTTTTATTATTATTATTAATTTCGCCAGAGAAATAAATTCTAAGACTAAACTCTTAAAGGCACTAGCATCTAAGGCTATCGGTTTTTTTTTATTAAAAACTCTACCGCACTTGAGATTCGAATCCACGACCATTGACTTGCTACTTGCTACTCAGGCGGATATATTATTATTATTTTTTGGCATTTTATAAGAAAAAAAAAGCAACTTTGAAAATTTCATTAAAAATTGTGTAAAAAAGTCTGTTATAAACAAAAGAAAAAATATGTCAACACAACCAGAGAATTCGTTGTACGACCAGAGAATTCGTTGTACTTGCTAGTCGAGATTCCTCCCCTTCGGCTACTCGGCGGATAAGAAATTTTTAAGTTAACTAAGAGCGTTGAAAAATATGTTTAATATGCTAAGTATTTGTCTCTCCAAGCTTAAAGTGTCTCTCTGTTTCTATTTGTTATTTTCTCATCGTCTTGTAGTAAGGTAAACAAATTTCTAATTTCAAATTTCAAAATCTGTCTCACCACTAATCGCACAATTTAAATGAGTTCTAGTAATCTGGCAACAACATCTTATCGTTACTAATCGGCGAGTTCGAATACTTGGCAGCATTAGGAGGTTGTTGGCATTGCTATCTTAAAAATTCGTTTTACTCGCGTCAACAAAAGAGAGAAAGCATATCGAAGCAAAGATATTGGAATTTTTGCTTTGGCAACTAACATATTATTAACGTCCTGCCTACTCACATAACGGCAAAGAAAAAAATAGTGGACAGTTTTCCGAATTTTTTTCTCAGTATTATATAGTTAATTACTTATTTTATATGTGTTTTCATGCTTGGAAGCCATTGAAGCTACTAAATTACTGAATCATATGGAGGGAGGAGTCTGGGCTTTTTATAAAGAGCGAAAAAGAGATAAATATTGAGTGGTATTTAAAATATTTCTTTTTTTCTCATTTGCATTCTATTCTTGAAAAGCAGGTACGTTATGTGATTGTTGTTGCAAAGCATGTAATGTGTTTGGTTGTTTTGCAAATCATGATTTTTGTTTACATTTGTCATGCACGTGCCATTGTTTACATTTCAAAAGTAAGATCTTATGAATTTTTGTTGCTATAAAAGTAGTACAGTGTATATATTGTTGTTGCATTTTGCCCACATTTTTATATTGTTTCCATTTACATGAAAATCGATCAACAAAAACGATTTGAAATACGAATCTGTTATGCTAAATTTGAACGTCGGTGGCTTATTTTAAAAATACCCTTCTGCATAAGGCTTCTGCGTTGAACTTCTTCGTAATATCAGAGTATCATTTAGATTTTAACACAATGATGCATGTTTGGGGTTGGACCCCCGTTTTGCCAATCTTTTACGAAACAAGCATATCATGTAGCAATGAATAACAGTGAAGGGTTTGCGACAATATCACAACACTTTTTTAAATCTTATTTTCATTAATCAGTTTCCAAACGCTTGCCTGTTTTTACACTAATTTTCTGTAAAGGCATGAAGTCAATGATACATATGTATCAAATATTCAAATAGATGTAAGGAACTACGCTTACTTTGTATTCTCCTTATTAGGGATTGCAACGATGAAACACCGTCAATTTGTTTGGAGGTCTTTTTGATATAAAATTTTGTTTTGTAATACAATGAAAATTCCGCGTAGTGTTCAGCCAACATATAAAAAAAATTTTCTTAATATATTGCTCTGTACTTGATAGATGTGTTAAAAGTTTTCATTTAATCTAACCAGTCGCCAAGTTTTCATTAACTAACTACACTATACCAATTTACAAAACTTCATAGTATTTGTCATCATTAGACCTACTCTAATCTTTAGATCACACAAGAGACTAAAATTTATTATAGAATAGAATAATCTATTATAAAACACTATCGTGCAGACATTTTCATTTGCGGAGCGAATCTTGCCCTGGTCGACTTAACTCTACTAAAATCTTTGGCTTTAGTATTTTGTAATATTAAATTTGTTTTGATTATTAATATTTTATTTTATTTCCAAAGAGTGTGACCAGATCTTTTGCGGTGTTTTACCCTGACTGCTCGGCTTCAGAACGCCAAGTCAATGCCAATCGAGATCGGCATGAAACAGTCCCTATCTATGTTATTGGGCGCATGAAACAGCTTTTTTTGTTGTTCTTTTGTACACTAAATTATGCTAACGTAAACAAATAATAATTGTTTTAATTGTGGTGCTAGGCATCGTATTGCATTTCGTAATGCAATAAGGTGAAGTGTGATATAATTTTCATTTTTGGTTTAGCAAAAGGATTATGCTGAATTTGCATAATTCTGTCACACTTCAAAGTGAATGCATATAACGACATGCGATCACACTACAATTTAGATGAACTTTTTGAAATTGACTCAACATACATTCAAACTATATCTAGTTTGGCTGTCGGTATTGTGATTCCAAAAACTGATGAGTTTAATGTCAGTCATTTTTTTTTTTTAATTGAATGTGCAATCATTGAGATGTATATGTATGTTTACATTGGTTGGTATTCTTGTATTTCACTTTTTACGACGAACACTCAAATGTTTAGAAGGCGTGAAGATATTTATTCATGTGCCATTGTAAACGAAATCTATTAAATGCATAAAAAAAACGGGCTTACTTGTGTTGTGCTTGTGTTGCGAATTACTATCACAATACATATTTGCCACATAAAAATGTTATTCGCCCAAATCCCAAATCATATAAAAGCCTATAATGGAATCTCACCCATTCATACTTCATACTTTTTCCGTATATACTTTAGTTTAATTTGATAATTATTTTAAACTCAATTTATTAACATTAAAAATTATTATAAAAAAAGAAGGCTTTAATTTAATATTTTGATACGATTCAAATTCACATTTTTGGCATTTCTTTTTTTGACTAGAAATTTCAGAATGAAGAGGCTTGGTTTGGCTTTTCTATTTTTCTATGACGACACTTGTAAGCGTTGAAAATGTCAGCACATCTATGCAATCTTACACTTACAGTTAAGGTGACCAGGTGACAGGACGTGACCATCTTTAATAAATTTACATGTTTTCGTGTATTTGTCAAATACAATCAATACAACATTAACAATATTAAAATGATTTATTGAACGGAAGAAAAAAAAACTATTGTCAAATTATATATTTATAAAATACAACCTGATCACCTTAATTCACTACATTTAAAACTTGGAATTTGCAGCTACATCCACACATGATACTCGCTTTACAACACAACACAATCAACAGCTTTACAAAAATAACAATTTTTTAACAGGGTTGCAATAATTTCAATTTTACAATTCATATAAAATTTTTAATAAAATAAATAAAAAAAATAATATTAAAATATATATTAACAATATAATAATAAAAAAAAGAAATATTAAAATACATATTAACAAAATAATAAAAAAAATAAATAAATAAAAAAATTAAAATTATTATTAGAATAACCGTTTAAATTATTTAAGATATTAATAATTGAAAATATATATTATTAAAATGATTAATTAAAAATATTAAATAAACATGTGCAACAATAACTAAAAATTAGAAATTTTTTTATCCTAAACTATACTACAATTCCCATAGAGTGGCTTTTATAACAGCTCTGTATTAAGAAAGAAACTATTGGAATGAACCACCCTCGCTGATTATAAGGCTGACAAGTGATCTGATTAATTGGTAACACTGATTTTTTATATTTATGTAAAGAGGTATAACCTCTGTGTATTTTGTAAAAGAGTATGAATTTACACTCTTCACTCATAAGTTCGTGGAAAGATTTAATTCAATTATAAGGAAAGTGTCGCATATAATTAAATAAACATATGAATTCGGATGGATAAATATTATTCCAAACTTTATATAAGTGAGAAACTTTATCTGCAAAAAAGTTGAGATTGAAATAACAAACAACATTTTCGGTTTCAAGATAAAATGATGTGAGAATGTGATAAATAATCAAAACCACTGTCGTTTATACATTATACAACGTTTTTCGTGTGCACGAAAATTTTGTGTTCGGTTTTATGTGGATTAAACTTGGATATAAAAAAGTGAGCAGTGTAAGTGTTTCTGCATTGAATGTTTAAAGGCGATTAGCTGATATTAAAGTTTAGAATGCGAAGATTTTTTTCTAAAATCAACAACCGTGTTTCGATTATAAATTTCCGTTTTGCATAGCAGCAACTTTTCAACTTTCGTCGTCTACAAAATATATAAAATGAAGCAGAACACATACATAAACATATTAAAAGCAGACACCTGCTTCGGAAGATATGCTAGGCAATTGTCATTCTTCTTTGTTCGTAACGAGTCGATTTAGTTGTATGACTACGTCCGGGTAGTGTTCCTGTGTACGAAATGAGGAAGTAAAAATAAAATAGCAAAGTAACAACAATGCGTAAAAGGGCATAACAAATTGCAAAATGTATGGGTGATTGCAGTCACGGCCTCACTTTAAATTGTACTCAAATGAAATTAAGAAACATTCCTTTTTACTTAACTTATCGCCAATAAAGGTGAAGTCCTTCGTTTTGAAAAAATGTGACTGTCAAGTTGTTTGCTCAGGAATCATTACCAAAAAAAAAAAAACAAAGCAAAGCATTTGCGGCAAAGTTTACGATGAATGCATCAAGATATGATTTACTTCACCTTATTAAGGTATCATATTCGATTAGGAGTGCGTGAAAAATTTGCAAAATAAGTATATGCTTGAGCATCGAAAAGAGTGAATGAAATGTCTGTCTGTCTAATGCTGCGGATCTCAAAACTTTCTGTAGCTCTTTTTTTCTCATTATTCGTCACAACTGATTTATATTGGAAAAATTTACAATTTGGGAGAAAATTGCCTATTTTTGCTCTTTTTTAAATGACGATCTTATAGAATTCACATTTAATAGGTAGTTCGCTCATGTAAATGAGCTGTGCTTGTGCTGATGCTGCCTATTTGCATTAATACTGTTCTAACGAAACTTCGTACGTAGATGTAGTGGGACAGACGGATATATAGAGTCATTTTTATTTGGCCGTAGTAAAAGCTCTCATCTAGATTAACAGAATTATCCTATCTGCTTTGCTTGCTGTGTTCATCCTTAGCGTGTTCGTACATTAGGATAATGAGGAATTTAACGCAACTTTCAGTCAAAAATTTGAAGAAGATGCGTAAAACTTATTTGTCATACTACGGAGCAGATCAGACGCAACTACGTGTTTCTCCTAAAATAGTAATCATACTTTCATTGATTCATACAAAACAATGATTTTCCTTATGATACATAAATATTTTGTATGGAGAGTAAGAAGGTGATTAAGTCGAGATTGGAGTTTACGTCAAAAAGTATTATTTTATTGTTATTAGGCTTAGCAGACCTTTTAAGGGATAAGTTGCGATTGCCCAGTAACTTGCTATTTTAAAGATGACGGTGACGGTGAAAAACGGCCGCAAGATACTTTATTAGTGCATCATTTTTTTACAATTCAAGTAATGAATAATCCAGAATTGAAATACGTACTTAATATACTTAGAAGATTGACTTGATAAATGGTTTAAGTGAGCGAGTATAACACGAACGCCGAAGGATTGAAAAAGTCTCGAAGAAGAGAAAGTGTAACCGTGAAAAATTTCGATGAACACTATTTTCTCGTGCGTGGAGGTTAAATCTTAAGGGGCATAGCTATTATTGGGCAAATCTTAGTAGTACTTAGGAGCTTTCTTTCTTTCTCCTTATTTTAAAATTGAAATTGGGCTTAATTTAATTGAAAACCGGTGGCATGGAATTTTGACGGTTTGAAAATTAATATTAAAGAAAAACTATTATCTATTACAAAAGAAGAAATTACAAAAAGAGGAAGAAGAGGAGGAGTAAAAATGCAAATAATTATGAATAAATTACAAAACTCGTTAAAATATTCCCACACACATGATACGAAATTATAATATGGTATAGATTGGCCCAAGATAGTGTTTTTACAATTACTAAAACAAGTTTTCTTTTGTTTTTTGAATAACAATGAAAAATATTCAAAACTAAACACGAAAATACCATTCCAGAAAACTATTCATTGGAACAATAGAATTATAAAAAGTTGTCTTAGACCGAAAGTTACATCAAGAGAAATGAACACTAAAAGCGATCTCATTAAACACCACTACCATATAAACATATAAACATTTCTTCAATGAGACTCTGATAGTCAATAAAATGTAATTGTATGCAGACTAGCTGGGTGGGGGGGGGAAGTTAAAATATATACATGCATAATATGAAATTTTCATACTTATAGCAATTCAATTGAGTTTATTCCAAGAGATGAAATTTCTGTGCTGCCATACAGTGAAATGAAACTTTCAACCACAGAGAAAAAGTTGTTTAAATATTGTGAGACAAGTATACGTGTTTTTGTTATTAACAGCGATGCAATTCCGTAATAACATGAATACGTAAACACAGTTTATGACGAAATGTGAATACCCTCCGCTATATTGCTCTCGTAAATTGATGCAGAATTAAGATCAAATATAAATTCAATTTGTTGCTGTACTAAAATTGATTTCTATGAATAATTATGAAAAGGTCTTTAAGCACATCTGAATATCACTATATATGATTGTCTCAATCAATAATGCAATGAAATGCATTTTCCTTTTGGAGGTGTTTGCAAAAATTATAAAGATAGTTGTGCTCTCTAAAAACATTTTTCTCTCAAATGCGCATCTATCTACGGTTATGTGAAGGTAAAAAAAAAGAGGACAACAGTGATGACCAAGGTGAAATAAACCCGTCCTTCTAACAGGTAATTATCCAGCCACATTTTTTACGGCATGTGCAATTATCGTTGCAATGCAATGCAATGCAATGCAATGCGAAATAAAGTTTAATTTCTTTCCCTGGCAAATGCAAGTTTCTACAAGATTGAGAAATAAACGGTCAATATGGAAGATGTTGCAATCATTGTTTGTGCTGATAAAGAAGTTATATGTGGAAGCTAATGGAAACTCCCTTGCACGCGAATGCATTATATAAACTCATAGAGATAGCAGATATCGATAGAAAGTTTGTCAAAAATTTCTCACATGAATTATTTTGAATCTTTCTTTGAAATGATCAATAAGGAAGTTTCCAACTTAACGCTTAGAATAGGCTGTAAAGAGAGCCACCTGAGTGGCCGAGTAGGCAAGAGTCTCGACTAGCAACTCAATGGTCGTGGATTCAAATCTCAAGTGCGGTAGAGTTTTTAATAAAGCCGAAAGCCTTAGATGCTAGTGCTTTAAGACTTTAGTCATAGAATTTATTCTCTGGCTAAGTTTATAATAATAATAATAATAATAATAATAGGCTGTAAAGAACTTTTAAGCCTTATAGTGGTTCAAACGTGTTTGGTTCTTGAACTTTCAATAATAATAAGCGAAGTGAGTAAGACAAATTATCTCGTTAAAAGTATTGAGAAATCTCAATATATCTTATCTAAGTTTAAAACATATGCTATTTGTTGCAATCAACTCCACTACGAAACGGGTATTAGCAAAGACACGCAAAAAAATAAGCAGCTACAGTATATAAGATATTCAGAATATTTACAAACTTAGATAAGTTGTATACTACATTGACATATATTAGAAAATTGTTTAAATGTAAACAGTTTGAAGTGCAGCCATTATAAACATACGCACATGGCTGAGTTTTTTTAAGTAATACTGTAGAATGTGTAGAATGTGTCGTATAAAAGAACGAATTGTTGCTTAATTTCTGTATCAAAAATATTTTCTAAGTTTAATTTGGTCGCTACAAGCGCATAGGCGAAGCTTACTGCGTTCTGACATTGATCTCTTTTCGGTTATAGGCAAATCCTGCTAACCAAAATCGCAATCATCGGTTTGAAAAATAACTCGCTGCGATTTAAATCGTATGACGAAATGGAATATATTTCATCCCGTATGGCCCTGAAAATATATGTTACCCGATCTTAATAGTTCGGTTCCAGTTAAAATTGAATTTTTTTTTCTTTGCATATTTTGACGCATATTTGGCAATTTGTCTGAACAAGTACAATGTGATGTGTTTATAAAAATTGTCGCGTACTCTATACCTGCAAATCTGAAACTAGTTTCAATGTGCTCTATTTGGTTATTGAATGTCTAACGTTTTAAGGGCTTGAAAATAAATTATCCGCTTTGTTAATTAAATTCCGCTTATGATGTAGTCGATAAGCCTGAGTTACTTTTATGTTTACCAAGCGAACAATACCTTCGTCTATAAAGACTTAGCAGATGTTGCCAACATCAAATGAAAATATTTCATTTCAATCAATTCTGTGGTGGCTGTACTGTCAGTAGAAAGTCGCAATAATATAACATTGTTGTAAAAGAAAAATTTATCTCCTCAGACCCTAACATCATTCTTCTATAAGTCATGGGTCGTCTAAATATTTCAAATTATATACTTCTTCCATTAAATGCGAGTATAAAAATAATTCTGCCTTCTAATGATTAATTGATTGATACAAAGCAACAATTACAATACTCGTCTTAATATACGGAAGAATGAACATCACGTTCGACTATGTACGGGTTTCATTCAACAACTGCATGTACACTATCAACGTTTGCCGAATAAAGAAACTGATCAGCATTATAGCTTGCAACACAAACCCTAACCCAATATATCGCATTTCTGACATGCGAGTGGGGCGTGAAAGTGCACGTATGCCGTTCAATGTTTTCAATAATCCAGAATTGAGAAGTTCATATTAAGACAATTTGTGGTCCATACATCCAGATCGAATCGGTATCGCATGCACCTATGTTGGAAATATCGCCTACTTACAGTGAATGGTTACTTCAGGAACGGCAAAACTTGTCTTCACATATCGTATTACTTTCGGAGAAAGCTACTGAACATGTTCTTAAAAATGTATTCATTCGACAAATGCTTAAAATACAGATCTCTTAGAATTTTGCAAACGTTTTGCTAATATGGAGAGTTTTCTATCTTTATTAAACCGAGCTTTGTTCCCCGTGTTGCCAAGACTTTTTAAAGTTTTTCATTATATTTTGGATATAAGCTTAAATTTGATCATTTCTCCAAATATTCGTTCTTTTCGCTAGACAAAAAATAAACGCTTGTTAAACCTAGTCCACCGACCTAGCCCAAAGCCCAGCGAAGACTTAGTGAACTTAGAAACACTTTCAAGTCTTAGCTTCCTATTTTGTTCTTGTTCCAAAAGCTTATGCCGAGCATGTCAATGGCCGTGTTACGTACGCATTGGAGCCAATGAAGTCGAAAAATTTGTGTTTATGCCGTTCTATCAAGATAACGAGCTCAAGCACAAGTACCGGTTAATTCAAGAACGACTCTTATATAACTTGCCTAAAGTGCTTCACCCTCTTTCCCAGCCAGCAGGCATGAATTTCATCAAAAATATGTGGGATGAATTAAACTGACGGGTGCGAAAATGCTCAATCTCTTCGGTTCAAGATCTGAAAAATAGGCTATAAGAAGGATAGAGTAAGGTCGCTGTTTCCTACGCCAGAAAAATTATACAAAATATGTCGCGTTTAAATGACATTATTAGGCAGAAAGCACACCCCATTAAATATTAATTTTTAATAATATGCTGTTTGTTCTCTTCGTTTCTTTTCCTATATGAATAGATTACGAATAAGAAGAATTTTTTAAGTTGTTGCAGTTATTTAATTTTCTTTTCTATTGGAATAATGTTCTGTTTGCTTTTTTTTGTAATATTTTAATATGTAATCCCTAGTGTACTACAAGATAGTAAAATAAATTTGTATGTTTGGACAATGGACTAGGTTTACTTAAGCGTTTATTTTTTGTCTAGCGCAAAAACCCAATATTAACGAGATTCGCTTTAGCTATAAATAAATACTTCCTTGGCATTGGAAATTCCTTGCTTTTATCCCTTTCGGATATTTCGAATGAAAAGTTCCAAGTATAAAAAGATTCGATCAATGCTGTTAGAAAAAGTTGTGTAGAAATATTTAACATTGGAACCAGCTTGATTGAGCATGAGTTAATGTGACTTTTTTGAACTTTTGACTTAAAAGAAAAAAAAAAAGTTTATAAAACATCCATAGTTCCAATATTTCTTGATAACTTTTACGAATATGAAAAGAACTTTCAATAAGAAGTGCTCAGGGAATATTGGTGTTAAATACCAGCGTCCTATTATATAATCTTTCTCGGCTGCAACGTCTCTCTTAAATGGAAATGTTCGTAGTAAACCTTGGGTTTGCTTACTTACGTCGATTTAAACGACTTTCTTGTTCTAACTAACTCATCATTTTCATAATATTGAATACTGCTTGGTTCATGGGTGTATGTACATTTTTGTGCTTGGCTATGTATGAAATTTGACAAAATTCGAGCTCAGCCATCTTCCTTACTTCTATCTAAATCTCAATTTAATTCAGTTCGGTTAATGACTTGTAAAAATTGGCTTAATTATGGCAGAATAATTAGCGGTTCCGTTACGGTACTATAATAATTTTCACCCCAATATAGAGATAATCAAATATCAATTATTTAGCGTAAAATACGAAAACTTTGAACCTGCCCGCCCGCCTTCCCTACTAAAATTGTTGGTTATTCATTTAGAAAATTACTTTTCGTGGCTGGGAGGGAAAAGTAATCTTTGCTTTTTTTGATTAGAATTATAAAAAATTCATTTATCTGCCATTTTAATGGTACACATGTGTACGTATATATATATATATGCATACATAAGCGATATTTCATATATGAAAGATATATTAGGTTCTTTCTACATTTGCTTTTTCCCTCAAAAAAATTTTTTTTTTTTGATATCATGTTTTTAGAGCGGAAGAATATTTAAATTTTCATCCGCAGAAATCGATGAGTATATTGCGATGGCACATGAGGTATTTAAGAAGGTGTGCTTTTTTCTGCCCATTTTTGGTGAAAAACTGCTCAAAATTAACCGAGCGTGTGCCTGTACGATAGAAAAATTGAAATTTCAATCAATCAATTGCATTAAGTTGTTATACATGAAAGATATATGCAACGAAAATATGCTCCTTATATGGATGGTAATATAACTCAAGGTCACACATTTTCAAAATTCGTATCGATAAAAATTTGTCTTTGTATTTATTCGCATTAGAAATGCGCCTTCTTTCTAGATGTGACGAAGCTTTTTATGCGAAAATTTATTAATTCTCATTGATTATTAATGGAACTCATTTCCAGTTCTGCTAGTGAAGGCCTATGCAAAGAATTAGACATCGGCCGCACTTAATTTATGGATGAATTTAAAAACAATCGTTGAAAATTGAAGAGAAACCCTTTATGTCGAATAATGCGAGTTTTCCATAATGGATAACGATTCTAGCATATATATAACTTTATTCTAAACGGGCAACGCTGGAGTGTCAGGACGACATGGGAATGCGATTATGAAAATGTGATGATCAAAATGTTTACAATCAACACAATAGCACTGTATAACTAACTAAAGAACAACAACAAGAGTTGCAATTTAGTAAAAAACTGTGCAGACATTAGTTGAGATAGTCCAAGACGTCAATTATTTTAAATATCGCACATACGAACTTAGAACGGAATCCTCGCGTTTTCAATAGTTGTGACATTAAAACTAACTCCTATCGTCAACTTTCTTTGCAGATTTCTTATTAAAAACAACAACTCTTCCAACAATGTCTTCTCCGAAGAACCGTATCTAATACATATATGAAAATAAGTAAAGCAATAGCGTACATTTGTTGTTGCAGCTCCGCAAATATCTCTACAAAGTCAATTTTTGCGCAAAAATTAAAGAAAGATATGAAGCCATCTGTCGGTATCTGCATATTACATATCATATTTTTATAACGAAAAAAGAAATTAAGAATATATTCCAACTAGAATTGATATTCCTCAAAAGCGCAGACATGCACCTTTCATTTAACGATAACGTTTCAGTGGAAGGTGGAATGCAAAATGCTGACATTTTCACTACTCGTACAAGTGTTGTGTATGGTTTATGTTCGTGCTAATTACGACTTGGAATTTATGTGCTCATCGATATTGTGGATATTGTTAGCGACGTTTCCGATTACGCGAAAGTAGTTTTACACGCCGTCATGGATTCCACAGATGGACGTATGGTGCGCGCTCCGAGACGCAAACGCAACGAAGAGCAAATGTGTGATAGGGTAAGTAATCAAACATACATACATTCAAATATGAAACTTACAATAATAATAACATTGAGTGCGCCGCGAATTAGTTAACAAGGAAGATCAGCTTTTTATACCCTACGCAAGGTATACTGACTTGTTTTCCGGACTTTTGATACAACTCATATTATATCAATTGACCCATAATGCTTTCCAAGCCTCGACTTAAGTTCGTCTATTGTTTTGATATCAGATCATGCTTTTTGTGTTTACACGTAAGCTACAATTTTTGAGATATTTTGATGGGATTTTCTCCAAGTACGACAACCCTATTGAAAATGGATTGGACCGGCCGATTATAATGACTTATTATGAAAAAAATGTTAAATGAAAAAAATTTGAATTTTTCAACGGCGAAAATCGTTTGGTACTAATAATTCGATCGGACGAGTCTAAGTTTCATATCCTGTCCAATATATAAAGGTTATCATGACAAGTAATCGATGAAGTGTCATTTTTAGAACTTTAGGGCCGAAGTAGGTGAAGAAGAGTGAGATTTTTGGCAAGAAAATTAATTATGCTATACGCGGGCCTTTTTATTTGCTCCCCCTTCCATATAAGGTCTCCATTGTCTCGATATGGAAAAAAGGTATTTTAGCAAAAAAAAAGTACTGAAGAATTCTATTGGATGAAGGCCATAGTGCTGTTAACGATCGAGGTTACGCTCGGCTAAAACGTTTTCAGTTGTCATTTATATGAATTAGTCTTCGTTAAGCGCCGCCACTACATGTATGTATATACGTTTTGGAATATTTGCTTTAGGTCCCTGTATAATTGCTTAGCGTTTAGTTCGCACAAGCAGTAAATTAATTTAAAGAATTTCTCTTTTACTCTTCTAAAAGTTTTTAGAGAAAGATAACGCTCTCAGCATATCCGATATATATATTATGATAAATAATGAAAATATACTTAAAAAACCTGTTGAGAAAATTTAATACCATAAAAGTCTGCTGTTTTTCCTCCTGTTTTTATGCAGCAAAAGAAGTAGTTATTCATTTATTTGTATGAGTGTCGGCTCTGCATGCATGAGTATTTTTTTCTTTTTCCATTTGTAAAATACGTACTTAAGCAAAACAATAATTTCCACTGCGTGCCGTTATTGTTAGTGCTTTTTCATTTCATTTCATTTCTGCTTGTCGTTTGATCATTTTCATGCACTCTTGCCAACGAATAAGCTTGTTTCAGTTGTATGGTTTTAGTTCACCTCAACATAAAACACCGCGCAGTCTGTCGGGCATAATTGCATTAACATAGTATTGTATTGGAGCGTTAGGTGCGCGCGGAGGGTGTTAGAAGGCAGTATTTCTGTGAAAGTGATCTTATTTCGCTTGACTTTATGTCATCGAGTAAAAAGGGAATAAACGTAAATAAAAAATCTGCAATGGAATTGATTGGCTGAAAACAGAAAGAAAAAGAAAAGAAAAGACAAGCGTAACCATATCGCTTCGAAATAAATTTTCGCTGAATCGGTTCTTTTTTGCATCGGCTGTATTTTAACATTTGAATAAAACGAAACGAAAGAACATAAAGCATAAAGTGTGTGTGTGTGTATATATAATAACAATAATAAATGCAAATTGAATGTTTGGCACATTCTAATAACTAACTTGTAATTAACATATAATGTAATTGTGAGAAACAAATTTAGCGAAAATCTTAATGGCAGAAAACAAGTAAACAAATTTCTACAACTCAGAATACCCCAGCATCGTTTAATTGGTCTCTCTCGCAAAATGCCTGCAAGTTATATGTCCATCACGGACAGTTGGGTATGAAAATTTGGAATAATAGTAATTTACAAATCAAAACAAATTTTTTTTTTTTGTGTATTCTTAGTAGTGGGTATCATGTGTAGTCCGTTTCCAATTTCCGATTATTTACTCGCTGCTAAGTATAGCTATGGTACTCTGTTTCAATTTCTGCATTTCCAAAGGCAAAATGAATCAATTTCGTCAAATCGTCAACAAAAATACAGACGAAGCGTAAATGTTTTCAGAATCGTTTACACATTTTTCGAGCCAATTGAGCATAGTGTAGTTTGGATGGCGGCAAATGTTTATATTTCCCTGAATATAACTATTCCAGAAGGAGTTTAACAACTATACTCAAATTTTGTGAACAAAAAAAAAAAAATAAAAATAAAAAAAAAATTAAAAAAATGAAAACATTGCGGTAATGTAATATGTTTTTCAAAACTTGTGCTGCGCATAAGTTACATGGGAGCTTTATGCCCGCAAATATTGTTTTATCACTGCTTATAAATAAAAACATAAACAATAATATTCTTCTACTCCTTCGGCCTTACTTTTGCACAATGGAAACAAAATTAAAAATATTGCAAAGAGGAAAACCCGTGCGTGGAAAGTGATATTATATTAGCTAACGGAATAATTCATAAATTGCTTACGTAAATAAATCCTAAATGAAAGTGCTTCTAATTAAACAAATCGCAGCGCGTACGTAATGATTTACTAAAAATTGTTGTGATTGCTTTCAATATTAAAATGTAATAACATCGGAATACGTAACACGACTGATTTGTTTCTTCAAAAACATTATTTTCACCACCAACGACTACGATGCCAAAATCAATATCATTATCTTCGTTCTATTTCCCAATTTTCGCCAATTTAAGCAGAACATCAAAATTTCCTGCCAAATATGAACGTTCTGAAAAAGTAAGTCGCTGGTGTTTAGTAAGTAACTCATTTTATCACTCGATGGAAACATCGAGGTAGATAAAATAAAAAGTTGAAGAATCCTTTGGATAACCAGGTGGTATCTGTGTGTCTCAATATATGTATCTCAATAAACGGATAAGTAGTCTTGCTACCATGTAATCTAATCTTGCTAAAGTTTGTAATTCGATTATTTATAAATATCGGGCATAGGCGTATTTCCAAGCGATAGAACGCATTTTCACATGCAAATTAATAAACATATACGCAATTAAAACCCAGCTCCCGTCAGAAATATTAAAAGTTGGAAAGAAGATTCACTTTCGCTTACATGGAATTGAAATTGAATACAAACAAAATTGGAATTAAATTGTGATTGAATGAATATATATTGAAAGCAAGTTTTTTATGCAAGATGGTTTTGTTTCTTTCCAGAGACGCTATAAAGTATATATATTCTTGATCAGCGCAAAATTCTGAATTGATTTAGCCATATCTGTGCCTCTCTGTGGTCGTCGTTGAGACTCTTCCGGTCGAAAAAAAAGTAGATATCGACTTCAAATTTGGTAGAAATATTAGAAGTTTTTGCACGTTGCAAGTTGGTATTGAAAATGACCCAATTTCGTCAGAGCAAAAGCGCGTAGTGGGGCGTAAATTGAACGCGACCCAGTTTTCTTAGACAAAAATTTTTGGTTTTATGCTCGTTACTCGGAAACTATTAAAGTTAGACGGCTACAATTTTTCACATTTATTTTACGGAACACTCTACGTTTTAGATCAAAAAATGGAATCAATCGGCCATGCCCATACAAAATTACGGGTAATAAAATTTTATTTTTTTCACTTTTTGGAGCTTTTATGCTTATAAACAACACAGAATGTTTAAGACTACTTTGAACACTCCTCAAAATGAAGATCCGCCTAAAAAATGGGTTAACTCTAAAATGAATACGGTAGATACCGCGTAAAAATACCAGCGATATGGGTATCAAATAAAAGGGCTTGGAGAGTGGAATGCTAAAAACATAGTGGCAGGTATGCGAGATTCGGCCTTCGTCGAATATAACTTTCTCATTTGGTTCTATATGCATTGTTGCTGCCATGTTAAACCAGAGCTCTGTATAGCAGATGAAGGTGAAAATATAGTAAAGACGAGAAAGGTAATATCGGAGCAAAGATTACTGTAGGCATTAAGACTTTACCCTGATTTTCATTAACACACTTTACCGTCAAGGTTAAATTTATAGGCGGAAAGTAAGCGTTCAACTTACACATGCACGTCAACCACAAAAGCGCAACGACTAGGTTCACTTGTTTGTATCCAATTTTTACTGAAGAAACTTTTTAACACGTAGTAATTTAAAAAAATTTTGTAGTGAAGTTGGGTCACGGTTAATGACCAAATAGCATAGCCATCCCTGGAGCGCCGAAAAGCAGTGTAGCCAACATTAGTAAATACATACGCGCGTGCTAGAGACATAAAAAGAAATCGTCTTTGCATCCATAAAATTATTCCTTGTACGTATTTTTAATACCAGCTATGATCCTAAGTTGCTCACTTTAAGATTTGTCGATATTTCTGCCAAACAAAAATTCGTAAAGCAACTATGGCAGACATAAGTCTGAACAAATCCATCTACTGCTAGAAGAATCACACCGCAGAAGTCTTGCTAGCAAGGAATTTACATCAACTCCGAATTCCAATTTCAATAAAAAAAACTGCTTCATTTATTATTATTATTATTGTTATTATTATTATTATTATTACTATTATTATTATTAATTTAGCCAGAGAATAAATTCTAAGGCTAAAGCCTTAAGGGTCTAGCATTTAAAGCTTATGGCTTAATTGAAAACTCTATTGCACTCGAGATTTGAATCCACAGCCATTGAGTTGCTAGTCAAGACTCTTGCCTATTCGGCCGTTCAGGCGAATCTGCTTAGTGTATTTAGTTATTTGTTTTGCTTAAGTAACAATGTAAAATTTTATTTTTATTAGTTTGGTGAATTGTTGCAACCTTGTAATATTCTATAGAATGAGCAAATAAAAGCATTAATAAAATTTGGTAAAAAGCTGGCAAAGCATAACATCCTTTCAATCTATGCCCACATATGCCTCCTTTAAATTTGAACAATACTGGCAATCTTTGAAAATGAAGAATGGGTACAAATTTTTCAGTAATAAGAGTAACAACACTTAAAACAAGAGAACATATTGAAGAATAAAGTAATTTTCCGACTATTTACATAAAATAAATAAATATTTATATACTCTTTACCACTTCTGTGGTAATACAT